CTAAACCCTGCCATGAAAATTATCCTTCAGGGCCATAGTCCTGCAAACACGAATGCACGTACCCAAATGCCCGTGTCTGCAGATTAGCACCTTGGATTATAACGGAGCAAGAAGTTCCGCTTTGTGTCGTATTTAAACAACTTTGTTCGCCTCTTCTGCAGTAACTTAGAGGAAGCAATGGGAAGTGCAATACATTTGATATGATGGAGCATCACTTGTGAAATTAGCCAACACATTCACGCTGTCCTAGAATGACCTAAGGCAGTAGTCATTCACTGTTATTTTATGTTAGCACCAATGGCTACAGGAGCCACTCTGCTTCTTGCAGCAGTGCAGAAGTAAAAACCCTTGCAGTAAATCCCACCCTCGATTACTCCTGACAACTGGATGTTAACATCCCAAAGTCAGCTATTTCTTGATTGGCTAGAGAGTGCTCCTCTTGGCTGAGTGACTTCATTCATACTTCAGATGTCCTTGGCAATGCCTGAAGCATAATCAGAAATGAACACATTTCTGGATTTTCAAAATACCCTAAAGTTTAGTATATTTTAATATAATTCCCAGTCTAGCAAAGCAATTAGGCATGTGCCTAGCTTTAAGCATGGTGATAACATCGTTAATGGGACATTCATGCTTGAAATTAGGCAAGTGCTTACGTGCTTTGTGGGATCAAAGCCTTATAGCAGCATTCTGATGAAGACAGGACCTCCTGAGTGTCCTCATCCTGGCTTTCACCTTCACAGCCACTGCAGATTTGGACAAACCAGCTGCAGTCTGGGAGTTGGAAAATGCTGAAAATAAGTGGCTCTATTTGCAGCTAGTGGAAGTTTGTGAGGGGCACCAAACTGCTAGACATCACATCTCTTCCCAGGCTTTTGGTTTCCTGCCTCTAAAATGGCTATAATACTGACCTGCCTCTAACAGGTCTGATGTGACTCACATTTACAGTATTTTCTGAAGAGAAAACATGCTAGGAAAATGAAACATATGGATGCAATTCTCTGAATATGCCTGAGTTGTGTAGCATTAGAAAAGACCTAGTCTTTTCTAATCTAGCTTTGATATGCGTGTGCTGCACTTAGAAGGAACATAAGCATCTGGCCTAGATGCATTCACATGACAAATGCCTTGTACCAGTCATATCATTGTACTTGGGAATACCCTCAAGAAGTGGAAGGCATTTAAGGGAATTACGATGCTAAGCCTCCCAAACTGTCAGTTAGAGAAAGCAGTGACTGCAACTTTTGTCATCACTGAATGATGGAGATGTTATGGGATTCACTTCCTTTCAGCAAAAAGATGCTTTTTGTGAAGGAACAGAGAATTGACAAGGGAGGTATGGAAAGGGGAACCCTCCAAAAATGTTTGCCTAGTGTGGTAAGCCATGGCTAGGGCAAGTATTATTTGTGGCAGAAGAAATTCCACGTGTCCACATGAGGTGCACCAGCTGTGGACAAGAGAGTACAATGTGTCTGGTTTCTCACTCACCCCTGCCTCCATGGCTGTAAGTATTTGCTGTAGGATTGCACGATGCCACAAGCATGAGACTGGGAGAAGTCAGACCCAACAGGCCTACAATGGCAGCACGGTCTGTGAGGGACACGGTGGGCACCCACAAGGCGACACATCCGCCTTCCCAAGTGAGATGGCCACACATGCTGTGCCTGTTCTGCCTGCCTCTGGGATCGGTTTGGTGCCAAGGCCTAGCTGCTGGCCCACAGGAGGCTGTACACGCACTCCCCGCTGCGGAGTCACAGGAGCAATTATGGCTTTCATTAGGAGGTGAGACGGCTTTTTTAAGAGAAAGTGGAACGTTCTGCAGGAAGATAATCCAAATGTGGCATGGAGAATGCAGCAGGGAGGACAGTGCTCAAGTCTGCACACGGCTGTTGTAAAGAACTGGGACAGCATCACCCCACAAATCCTCCCTCCCATGTGATGTTGTACAGAGATTTTATCACTTCTTAACAAGAGGTTGACCTCGACAGTAAACCTCTGAGAAGTCTGCAAAGCCATTGTGGGACACAGTGAGCAACATTTACATCCACAGCAAGAGCTGGGTCCCATATCCCAGGACCGTCCCCATCCGTCTCCCAGAAAAGGAATGGGAGAGGACAAACATGAAATTTTAGGATTGTACTCAAAAGTCGTGCAGCAAATGATGCTGAATCCTTAAGTTTGATTTATTTGCAAGCTCCTCCTCATTTCCAGAGTTCGCTCTTATAGCCTTTATTTCTTTTTCACAGACATCTCAAATAACAAAACAGTCACATATGCAAGAGTCAGTTCAGAATGGGATTTAGAGATAAACATCTTTACAGGAAGCATCTCTATATTCTCACACAGAGAAAGGAAAAGGGACAGAGATATACACATCTGAGGCCTTCAAAAAGGGGAAGGGACGACAGGAGAGGAACATCAGAATGAAACAGTACAGACTGGACAGGAAGGTACTTTGCTGGAAAATAAGTTCTGATCCCTTGAACTCAGTTTTCTCATCCATTTCCTTGCCGCTCTTTCCCGAAGTATCAATACACAGAATTACATATTTACTGTATAGGTTCCTACAGGCCAGCTGAAGTCCTTCTCGCCATAACCTGAACAGCTTTTTTAAAAATAAATTTGTTCTGAGAGATGGGCAAGCACTGCAAGTCCCTGACTTAAATCTAGCTGTGAAAATAAATAGTAGCCACCATCTGTTGCCACCGCAAAAAGTTCACTTAGACCTGGAGCTTTTAGGAATTGGTTTAATTCCTCCACTCCTTGGTCTGTGTTTGGTCAGGTAAAACATGGGAATATATAAGTGCTTCAGAGTTCTTACACTTGATTAATTTGCTGTTCTTCCCAGACCAGTTTGGTCTCAATATCTGATTTCAGCTCTGAGAGACTCTCACCATGAGATGGAGACATGTATTCAGCCTTGCCAGAGCAGCTTTCTCAATAGTACAGTCACAGTTCATTCTCTTGTTGAGTCCCTGGTTCAGTTTTTCTGAGGACAACGATAATCCCAACAATAAGGGATGAAATTGCAATCTCTTTAATCTCCATGTAAGCTGTTTGTAAAGCAGTTATTAACATTGAAAAAAACAAATAGGAAATTACCTAAACTGTACCTTGGAGCGGAATTTTTTGATTCTTACTAGCAGCTAGATGACATTTTCTAGGCCAGTATGGAAATAAAGAGCAAGAGAGTAACCTCAGAACAGTTTAGCAATTTAAACTTTTAGAATGCCGACTCATTCACTGGGCTGCTTCAGAAATGGTCAAAGATCTCTGACGTTCAGCACTGGCACCATCCAGTGATCTATGACTGGAGACAACCATAAAGAACCCACCATCAAATGCAGTTTTTGCAGGAACTGGGGCAATCCCTATGCTTTGCAGTTGTGTTGTTATTTGGGGAGGGGAAGACTGCTGTGAACCTCTCATTTTGCTCCAGCAGTCTTCCGCTTTTAACACCTGCATGCTGTGTGGTGGGTACAGGGCCACAACAGAGCTCCGCATGGATCCTCTTCTGCACAAGGTGCCTGAGTCTTCCCACTGGAATTTGGAATCTTTTAGGATCTCAGAACCACCCAAGATAGGTGAGCGGTCACTCCGTGGAGGGAGAAGAAGCTCCTAAAGCTGAGTTAGAGCTAGTTTTACTGAGTCACCACCGAGAAGCAAATGTCTCTCTTCACTAACTGTACAAGACACCAAGGCAGATAAGCCTGTTAACACCAGCAGCTCAGTTAAGTGCCCAAGGTTAATGGGGATGAATTCAGATCAGAAAATCCAGGCCTTTGTGTAGCTGTGCAGCTTGACCTCACCCACAGAGAAACACCTCACAGATGTACACTTAGTGCAGAAAAGCATCTGTACAAAGGGCTTCTTGATAAAGAGTAAGTGCACCTATTTAGAGAGCTAAGGTGGAACTGAAATTCTATCATGGCTTTTCCAGTCCATTTCTCTTCCTTAGAGAAGCCCTTGAGATCCAGTCCTCCGACTGGATGTGAGTGTGTGGGTGTGCATGCTGCTGACTGGTGCAATGGCAGAACTGGGATTTTCCTGGGAAATAATACTGTTTAATTTGCTTTAATTTAAATCTGAGATACATGGGGATTGTGGAAGAGAAACAGTCCTTTGCCTGAAATTCTGTACATTGGCCTCAGCTTATTTCAGGCAATCATGACTCTGTGGACATTTTTCATAAATTTACAAATATATATACATATATATACATATATACACATATATGTGTATCAGCCTATGGGCTACATTTACCACTGCATTGTTCCAGCCACACAGAAGTATAATGGTTGGTTATTTTTACAAAAAAAAGAAACATTGGTATAAATTTGAAGTGACTTAGTAGTGGCTGTCACCATATCTATGCAAAAGCTCCTGAAATGGGCTGAATATAAATACAGCCCACCTTGCAGAAGTTCCCCCGCCACATGTACACATAAATAGAAACACAGAACTGTTAAGGTTGGAAAAGACCACTAAGATCATCCAGTCTAACCGTCAGCCCATCCTCACCATGCCCACTGACCATGTCCCTCAGTGCCACATCTGCCCTCTTCCTGAACACCTCCAATGACAATGACTAATGGGAGGTGTCTAAAGAGGACCCTGCTTTACAGTTTTAATGAAGCAAACTTCCCACTGACTCTACTGGCCTGTGATCAAGGGAAATTTCACTTCAAAAGAAGCTGAAAGCTCAACTGTACCTATTTCCTAATTTAGGTACAGTTTACAGCTTTGAAAGTTGTAACTTCTGCCAAAGATCTCAAAATCCTTTAAAGTAATTCAAGTTACTGCACAAAAGTATCTTCAAAAGTCCCCAGATATACTTTTTGTGTGTGTGTAAGTAGGGGGAATTCTGTCCTGCAGAACACAAAAACATGAACACAAACATATTAAGTGATGGAAATTGCCGAGTAAAAATAGTAACAGTTTAAATTAGATGTCTGTGATTGTTATTGGTGCCCAGGAGTTATAAATAATTCAGTACCTCCTTGCTCAATAGTCTGAGGCTGCACTTCTACTTTGTTGTTATGATTACCTGATTTTTTTTTTCTTATGATCTATGTTGTTAAAAGAAAACTCTTCATAAAAATGTAGTCTTATGCTCTACAGCCAGATGAAAACTATTCTTCAGACACAACTTCACAGGAGCTTAAGCAAATTAGGAGCATGCATGGTTTTTAAAAATGATGCTGGCACCAAGAGCATTCAGCGTTATACTGCTATTCACTGTCTGAACAGAGACTGGAAGCTGTGGTTCTTCTGTGTAATTGGTCCCAGGAAACTGAGCCCAATATGGCTGACACTTCTTGGTGTCTACATCCCCTTGAAACCAGAGCTAAACCTGCAGGTCACACTGCTTTTTGACTCTATCAGAATCACTTGATGTTTGGGAAGTTCTGACCAGTTGGCAAAATAACAAGGCCACTTGAAAGGAATTCCTTTTGCAGCACTATTCCCATGCCACGGGATGTGAAGCTCCCTGCAGTGCTGAGCCCCATTTCGTGCAGCCATGGCAATGCCAGCAGTCAACCACAGCTCTCAGCAGAGGACAGAAATAAGATTCAGGCAGTACGACGCTGCCCCTCATTCAGCAACGTTTCTACATAAGGGGATTGTAAACTTTTCTGAGTTGGAGGTGGTATGATGCCATTTTTTCTCTCCAATCTGAACACTGGCCATCTGTTTTACAGAAACACCTTGTAAGTGCAGGTTGCAAGAAGCAATTTGCAAACACCAAGGCTCTCCTGATGGGATTTCACTTTTTTTTTTCCTTTAGCCTTACTCGCTCAAAAAGAACATCCCATTTGTACCACACAAGTGGTTACTGCTGGGGTCTGTAGCATTAGAAATCAGTGAGGACTTGTGGGCACAGCTGTTTTCTGAGGTAGAATTGCCAGCTCAAGTCTGGCTGGATGCAGAAGTAGGTCTGCAGAAATCCCATATTTAAGAGCACCAGTAGTGAGGTCTGGAGTCTTGCAGTGGTGTTTCAGGATGTTACTGCTGTGAGCTGCTGCCTGCCCCCCATTTTGCTGGATATATCCTGCCAAAGGCAGAGCAGGCAGAAAGAAACATGTATTTGTATCTAGGCTGCTTCCTTTTCCTACACCTCTGGGATTAGAACAACACAGGCAGCTCTTCTCTAAATATTCAAATACTTTCTAGTGGCAAGTATCCAATTCACACCAGCTCTGTTGTGCCTCCCCACTTCTCTTCAGCAGAGATTTTATGTGTGATCTGCATACACGACCTAACACAGATGCAGAAGACACCTGAATGGCACTGCAACTCCTGAGCTAAGTACAAAAGGACAGAAAACAAACTATTATGTTGCATTTTGCTATCTACTCCCTCTGCACATATTTCCAGGTTACCCATATCCTGGGATATGAATGTTTGTGTGAGGCAAAGGAAGGAGGGGAGCGAGGGTGTCCGCATATATACACTCTAATCTAGAAAAGTTTGGAGGGTGTTTTGTGCCATTGTGCAGGAGAGTTAATCAGTGAAAGAAAGACATGAAAGTACAGACTGGGCAGGGATTGACAGCTCAGACTCCTGATGCTGTGAGTGTCATTGGATTGTCCTCACGTAACTCAACCAATGCCCATCAAGTCTGACTTAAAGCAACTGCAGCTTGATTTCATTTTTTTTCGCTCCCCACCTCCCCCTGAGGATAACCTATCTGAGCCTCAGTTGTTTTCATTCCCAGTCTCTCCTTAGCAAGAAAGGACAATTGATCTGTGACTCTGGAGTGCTTTACTAAAGGTGACCAGCATTTCATTTCCCTCTTGTGGCCTATATTGAGGCAGTAGTCCAGGCTTTTTCTGTAAGTAAAATCCTAAAAATGTGCAAGGCACATTTGCACTTTAACTAGCAGCATTCTGTCAGGCTCCAGTTCTCCCACCAATGTCAACAGCAAGCTTGTCAGAGCCCACTGGCACCAGCAGTTGGTCCTTTGTTTTAAAAAGCATTGCAATCTCTAGCTATGGCTCTGAAGAAAGCTACAGGCTTGGGGTATTAGTGATTTGGGGAGGAAGATAGAACGGGAAACATAAATCAGGGAAAAAACAGATAATATCTGATTTCCTTATAAAGCAAATCATTAGATAAATGCATATATGAGCAAGCATTTCATTTTCAGCACTAACCAGGATAGCACTGAAATATTTTTTTGAGGCACCTGATCCAAAACTCACTGGAGCAAAAGTGAAGCTTTCTATGGACTTCAGTGTATGTAATATGGAGCATATGCATTGTACTGCTGGCTGTTACTGGGAACTGTGGGGCACTGAGTGTTAAGTCCTCTTTTTATGAGCTTTTCAGCTGGCCTTGGATATTCACCCATCACTAACCTTTACATGCTGAATGTGCTTCATGCAGGTTTTTTACTCCTCGTCTCTCAGTGGTGCCTGGCAATCATTCAGAAATGTCTCAGTTTTTTACCTTGAACCTTTCCTTGCTGACTGGATGAATGCAACAGAAAGGGCTGTGAAAGAGTGCAAGTCCTGGGGGTAAGGAAATGAGGTGCTGATACACAGGGATGATTTGTGTGAATTCACCCAAGCAGCTCTATTGCCCTTCTAGGCCTATGAAGAGACACAAAGAAGAAAGAGCCCAAATAATGTATGTTTTTATTTAAGCTATACTTGGTAACATATTATTTCCTCTCCATTTTGCTCCTGGGAGTTAGCTTGGCACTCAAGAATTAAGGACAGATTACAGTGATTTTCTTCTGAGCTCTGCTTATCAGTGGGGCTCCAGGGATGAGCCTGGTTTGGAGGTGCTGCATGGTGAGTAAATGGACAGCCGTGGAGACACAGTCTTCCAGGAACACTTGGGAATCTGAAATATCCCCTGCATAGCAATCCTTTCCCTTCCCAATGCTGTTTTGCTGATCGTCTGATGAAGTGCACAGCTAGCATGCTACGGCTAAAAGTGCTCCCAAATGACTTGTGTCCACAGGAAAGCAGAATACCTGCACTCTCATGGGTCTCTCCTGGGAGGACAGGATCCTCTGGGTTAGAGGAGTGGACTCTGAGGGTTTTGTTTGTTTGTTTGTTTTGTAATTTATTTTGCTTTGTTTTGTTTTTCTTCTCTTCATTTCTTACTGTAGCTGAAATAACATTTTCTAAAGTAGTGACGGTTTTTTAAAAGAAATTGCCCTGGTCACTGGTGGCTTCAGATCCACTTGTGACTGTCCCTGGGGTAGAGCAAACGAAATAAAAGCCCAACTAGAAATATGACTTGAGGGACCGTACTATTCAGATCAGGGAAGATCTGTGTTAGCAGAAAGGGAGAAAGGAGAGATGATATATACAGGTGGCCACTATGAGTCAGGAGTTTTAACATGCGAACAGCTTTAGCTTGAAGACGGTGTCCTAAGAGTCCATAAGATACGTAGCACATAGATTCCCACAATATATTCCCTTGCAGGGCTCCCACACAGTGCCCTGGCAGGGATAGAAGTAGAAGCCATTGCAACTAACTCACTGCCATCACAGAACCTCACTGTACAAGAACTGGAGGCTCACTGTAAAAAAAAGCCTCAGCCTACACACCACTTGCGCTGGGGCAATTCACCCCACTTCCCTGGGAACGGCTTCCTGTAAAAGAGAGGGAGCACAAGCACCTGCATCAGGCTAGGACAAGGGTGTCACATTATCTACAAGGACAGGATAGCAAAAGAACACGGGCTGGACTCAGAAGGAAGCTGAACATCACCCAGAAAAGCACATTCTTAACTTGAAGCATGTGAATAGTCTACCAAAGGCAATGGAATCAGTCACATGTCAGAAGTAAAGTATGTGCTTGAACATTTCCCTGGAGCAGACTGAGAGACAGAGCCAAGACCCTTAACGTGGGGAGCACATGTGACAGATTTTTGACTACTGCTCAGTCTAGTAAACCAGACACTAGTTGGAAAGCTTGAATCTCAGGTCAGAAAGAAATTTCAAAGCCTCCCAAAAAAGCAGAAAGTTGGAGTAGGTGGGAATGCGCTTTGGCTCTGGATGTACATAGTCACTAACCATCACAGATCTGTCTCCAGATGTATCTTGGGTCAGCCCTGCTCTGGAGATGAGCGCGGGACTAAGCTAAGGCTCTCGGCCCACCTCACACTGCTCACGGCCCTTTGGGGCTCCTCCTGAGGCTGTGAGCAGCACAGAGAGAAATTCAAAAGATCCTAAGGGCTTTTGCCCCTGTTTCAGTCAAAGACGCGCACCAAAATTTTTGCCTGGACAGGTGGTCCTTTAGGATCCAGTCTGACATTAAAGTTCTGTATTCACCTGCTGCTTCAAGCACTTACACCCACACTTTTAACACACATGCTCATACAGGCCTGAGAGGCTGTGCTATAATGAGTGGAAAATCACAAATCAGGCCTAAAGATAAGATCCAGGGTTAACACTTCTCTGCTATAAAGCAAAATGAGTGTAACCCTCTCCCACAATCACCAAACACAGGCCAGCACTCAGCTCATATACAGCTTGTAAACCAACCAACACCTTCAGAGAGTACTTCATCAAGGCAGATCTATTTTCATGCCTGCTGCAGAGAGAAGAGTTGAGAGTCCATGAAATGGCAAAATGACTTCAATTTCTTTCAATCTTACTGCTATAGCTCCTTCAAAACTCCACCTGAAAAGCATACACTTTGTGAATTGTCACGGCTCACACAAGGCATACACCACCACAGGAGCTGTCATACTGCTTTCCACGTCACAGCACCCAATGGCAGATGCCAGCTAGAAACCTCTCTGACTTTCGGTCTAGTGAGGTCACTCCAGATACCTCTATTCACATGAAAGAGTTTCCCTATCACACTCAGAACTGCAGAGGAAGAAGAAAGTTTGTGTTCAAAGATGTTTTAATGACACAAGTACCAGTTTCGTAAAGCATTAACACCTTTATGAGAAGTTGCTTTTTCTCAAAATCTTTCATAGCATGAATTTTTTCACATTTTTAAAGGTCTCTTTTAGTTTTCAGTTGTTGGTTTTATGCTTTCGGTTTCAATTTAGCTTTCCAAGAATTGTTTTTATTTTTAATTTCCTTCTGTCCAGTGGTAACTCATCAGCCTCCTCATCTAGTAAGCACCTGCACATTTAAACAGTTTCAAAGCTTTTCAGAACACTCTGCTTGAAAACATTGCCAGAGGAAAAAAAATCCAATCTACTTAAAAAGCAAGTTTCTTCAAAAGGTTTCTATTTTCAACATGAATCAATAAATACTTACTTTCTCCAGTCAGATCTAATGGAGAATGAAATGACAAAACTTCACTTGCCAGGGATGGCATTTCAGTGGCAACGCATTGACTTGGCAGCTGACATTGGCATGTTTTGGGAATTTGTAAAACCAAAGAACATAAATGCTAAGTAGCTGAGCAAGAGTGAAAGAAAACCAAATCTACCCTACTCCAAAATAGCCTTCAGAAACTTTATTTCTTTGGACACTGTTAACAAAAAGGAACATCATCACACAAGGTGTAACAGGGAGGGAAAGCAGATCTGGAAGGGGAATGGCTGGCTATGCAATTGCATTGCATAAAAATTATTTCTTGGTTGGATTTTTTTTTTTAACAAGTCAAAATGCTGCTTCCTGACAGCCATGTAAATAGCATAATCTGGAGTTAATGCCTTTATTTCTGTGCAGGCATCATTTCAGCAGATTGCCTCCTTATCCTTTTGAGATTTCATAGATTCAGGAGATCACAGAATCACAGACCGGCTTACGTTGGTAAGGATCCTAAATCCCGTCCAGTTCCAACCCTCTGCCGTGGGTAGGGTTGTCACCCAGAGCCTCCATCCAAACTGGCCTTGAATGCTTCATCCACAACCTCTCTGGGCAGCCTGTTCCAGCACCTCACCATCCTCTGAGTAAAGAACTTTTCCCTAAACCTCCCCTCTTTTGGTATAAAGCCATTCCGCCCTGTCCTATCACTATCAGACTGTGTAAAAAGTCAGTCCTCCTCCTATTTAAAAGCTCCCTTCAAGTATCGGAAGGCCACAATGAGGCCTTTCCAGAGCCTTCTCTTCTCCAAGTGAAACAAGTCCAACACCCTCAGTCTGTCTTCACAGGAGAAGTGCTCCATCCCACTGATCATCTTTGTGGCCCTCCTCTGGGCTTGCTCCAACAGCTCCACATTTTCTTGAGCTGTGAGCCCCAGGTCAGGCGCAGCTAGATGATTTTTATCGTCAAATGGGAGCTGATGACATGCAGATATTGGGTGTAATAAAAGACTGATGTAATTACCCTTGAATTAAGAGCATGTTGGATTGGCTTGTTTTGTGGGGGACTTTTTTTCCCTGCCCTGTTTCCCTTTGCCTGCTATTTATCGGTGGTGCCATCACTTCCTGAACAGGGCCATTTGGCAGTTGCCTCTTCCAGCTCCCTTTAGTTACAGCCTTAGCCTTTCACCTCACCTTCCCCTCAGCCACTGTTCCCCTGCGAGCAGCTGCTGTCTTCACAGCCAAAATGCTCTGCTTCCTTCAAAGGTATACATCCCCATCTGTTCTGTTAGCTCTTCTGGGATCTATGACCCGAACGATGGGGAGAGAGGAGTGAAGGGAGAAGGGGGTAACGGGAAGAAGAGTAGCAGGAAAAAGAGAAAGACCAAAAGAGAGAGAGAATCCCACTTGAAGATTCACAATTATATCATACAACGCTTGAGCTCATGGGAAATGGATCTCCATTCTCTGCATCTGACCCTTTCTTTTCCACAGTTCTCTCAGATGGAGAGTGGAGATGTCCAGTGACCTGGGGCAGGTTCCAAAGACAAGATGTGTGAAGTTCTTATTTGGCATACATGAACACAACAAGAGGCTTCTCTTACTTCTCTCTTACAAAAATTTTCTCCCTTTTTCTCTTCAGTAATGGCTTTTGCCCAGTTTTCTCAAACATCCAAAAACTCAGTGTAATCCCAATCCAGTAAATACTCAGGAGGAACAACTGCCAGGGCTCCCCCCACCTCCCTTCTCCCTGGTCAGTCTTCCCTTGGCTCCATTCTGAGCTCTCGGATGCTCCACGAAAACCAAAACCATCCAGAAATCCACCAGAGGAGACGCACTGTCTCAGACCTGACGGCTTTCTTCACGCTTCTGCAGTCGCCTCAGTCTTGGGCCACAAACACAGCATGGATGGTGTAGTGGACAATCACATTGCAATGGTTTACATTTTTCTCTTTCTTAAAAAAAAAAGAAAAAAGAAAAGAAGAGGGAAGAAAATGTTATACACACAAGTATCACAGCATTTTCAGAAGGCCTTCTACTGCAATTGCATTAGCAGTTCAGCCTCAGTTGTAAGCCTGGATGTAAGGCAGCTGGAAGATTAAAACCGTACTGTTGGAGAGTCTGCTGAGACATCCTCATGTTGTTTTTTGTTGTTGCTGTTGTTATTTGTTTTCTGGTTTTACTTCGTAAGATCCTTATTTTAAATTGGTTTTGTCTGTTTGCTTCCTTCTAAAGTTTGGCAGGAAAGAGAAAATGCTTTTTTGCTTTTCCTCACGTCTTCTGTCCTTTTTGTTTTCTGCATTTTAAGAGGAAAGGAGAAAGAGAAAGAGAAGGAAAAGAAAAAAGAAAGGAAAAGAAAAGAAAAAAGAAAGGAAAAGAAAGGAAAAGAAAGGAAAAGAAAGGAAAAGAGAAGAGAAGAGAAGAGAAGAGAAGAGAAGAGAAGAGAAGAGAAGAGAAGAGAAGAGAAGAGAAGAGAAGAGAAGAGAAGAGAAAAAAGAAAAGAAAAGAAAAGAAAAGAAAAGAAAAGAAAAGAAAAGAAAAGAAAAGAAAAGAAAAGAAAAGAAAAGAAAAGAAAAGAAAAGAAAAGAAAAGAAAAGAAAAGAAAAGAAAAGAAAAGAAAAGAAAAGAAAAGAAAAGAAAAGAAAAGAAAAGAAAAGAAAAGAAAAGGAGTTCAAACAATATATATATATTTAAAAGATAATACTAAGAGATAAACAACAGCAGGGTAGGCTTTTTTCATTTTGTTTCCAGAAAGAAAAGAAAGTGCGTGGGTTTCTGATAATGGCCTCGAGGAGGTACATTGTAGAGGTGACTCAATTGCTTGATTTGTTTATTTGCTTGCTGTTTGCATTTTCCTTTCTAACTGCAAGGGACAGGCTTTTTGCCCCTGCTCCCCAGCCCTCCATGTCCTGCACAGACAGATTGCGGGTCCCCCACCCGGACCCCTCTCTCCCTTGCCAGGTGGCAGCTGGTAGGTGCAACAGCATGTTCATTCAACCTCTAAGGTATGATGCTGAAGTTAAGAGTTGGATGGAAGAGCCGTGTGAGAGAAAAGCTTTCCCATCTTGGTGTGAAAGAACGAAGCAACACAGAGTCCAGTGGAGATGTGAGTGCCGTGTTGGACTCAGCTCTACCTTGGCACTGGCATTAATTTGAGATTATATATATATATTTAATTATATATACATATATATGCATGTATAGGTATACATAGACATATATATATATATATACGTGTGTGTGTGTGTATTTGTTGTTGGCTATTTTTTTAGCACACTGTCCCATTCTCAGGTCTAGATTTGGGGCAGTTGGTCCTGGGGACAGGTTGGACAGAAGGGGCCAGAGTGCAGAAGAAGCCAGAGATAAGAGTGAGGCCCAGGCCCCCCCATGCACAGAACATGGACCAGCCATAGCCATGGCTGATGTCGTCGGGAAGTCCATACAGGTAGCGGGGGTAGCGGGAGAGCTCGAAGTTGATTCCAGCCACACACGTGCACAGTGAAATGATGCAGAAGGTTCCTGGAGGAGAGCGGGAAGGGGAGAAGGAGAAAGGAAAAAAATACAGAGAAGTTAGAAGAGTGAGAGATACATTGCTTTCTTAGCTGCCAAGAGTTGGTGAAGTCAGTAAGGATACGCATAAGGGAAGACGTTCGTATAGAGAGTGGCTTAGTCTAGGCATGGGAAATGAACTGAGTGCCACCAGAGCCTCGAATATTGATCTGATGCTGAATAGAGTTGTATGGAGAAACTTCAGCTGGAACAGTCTTGTCATTACGAGTGTCCCTTGTGAACCAGAATGCTCCATAAACCATTGATTTTGCAGGAATTTTGCTTTAGATAAATAAGGAGAGAATAGTCACGTTGCAATACTTTTTAGAGGAAAAAGACTGAGTTCTTGTTAAAATTCAGTTTTTCAATTATGAATTTTATAGAAGAAAACATTACAAAATACTTGACATTTTGGCTATGTTGAAACATACATCAGAAATGCCCCGGGGAGTTCTTTTTCCCATTCTTCTTACATCAAAATCTAAAATGTTCCACTCTGCTTGCCCTTTTAAAATGCCACTTTTAAAATCTTAAAATCCCTCACAAAATTTGGATTCTATCCTCTGCACTCCAGTGCCATTCCAGATGCCCTCTAGTAGTACCAGGGAACAATTCAGAATATCCTGTTCTTGTTTTCCATCTCTGTAGCAGTATTTCATTTCTTCCCGAGAGCGCTGCAAGGACAGGCTTCACAGCTCTGTCAGGTGTTGAGTGTTCTGGAAGCCACGCACACCAGATGAGGCTGAACTTTAGCCCACCCAGATGAGTTTAACTGTGATCTTTGGCCTCCAGCTTCATCACAGTTAAACTCTGAGCTCCTGAAATGTCACCGTTGCCACCCACACACCAAATAATGGATAGCTGCAGTTTCTGTGCGCCCATCTCAAGAGATAACACCCACTGTCTACACAGAGTTGGTAGTTTATTTTTCCCCTCTAATTCCTCCCTCTACAGTCCTCTCTGAATTGTCTGCAAGAGACCCAAAAGGTGATATGCAGTACACATGATGGAGTTACTCACATGGTTGGCTTGCTGCTTGTGCAGAGCCCTGTGGCATGCTGTGTTTGCTACCTGCAAAGCACATCCTGGGTCACATCTCTGTTCACCAGCAGGGCTGCTGAGGAATTTACTTTCCTGTCCATAAGATAGCAAAATGCCCTAAAGCATTCACAGCTTGCCTGATTTTAATCGATCTCTTTTCTTCTGGTACCTTTGCCTTCTTCTGTCCCTTTCTTTCTCTGCTCCTGCCACTGTCCTGCAACTCTGCTTTTATGTCTCTGCTGCTTTGCTCTTTCTAGTTGCAGTTACACTGAAGGAATGGATTTCCATTGAAGACACAGATTAATTACGTGTTGAATTCCTCTGGAATTAGGCTCAGAACTGAGGACATTTGTAGGAACACATATACCACCAAAAATGTTTGGACTCCCCACCGTGCCCGTCCCTCTAATTTAGCAGGCACATCCTAAAACTCTAAAATCTCCATGCAAAACTCCATCATGAATGAGCTGTGAGCCCACTGTCACGTCACTCTGTCATCCCCTCTGACCGCTGCCTCCATCACCTCTTTGGATGGTCATTTCTCTTCCTATGTGTTTGCTACTTGCCACCTGCAGATAATCTCCATTGCAGAGCGTAGGGAATACTGAAACTCTGGGTTCCTCTCCTGATGATATATATGGCTGCCAGATGGCCCAGTGAGTACCATTCATAAATTCTCACATTATGATAATGCCACAGGGCACCAGTCTGTACCAGAGAGTTGCTGTGCTGGATACTCTGCTGTTATGAAAGCTGCCTTCTTATCCCAGCCCAGCATCCAGTTAGTCTGCAATTAGCGCTGTGAACATTTGCAAAAGTGTTATAAGTGCCCCAGCTCTGCTGTTGTTTTCAGAGATGCCCTGCACTACTTCAAAGAGCAGAGCAGGAGGAATGGCTCTCTTTCCCAGAATCCCTTACTCAAAAATCATGTTGTTTGATCAGGGTAAAACTCCTTCTGTTCTTTAGCATGTCACTTAGGTTATCCTGGAACATGAAGCTGTCTGCCAAGAACACGGCTGTCCTTGTGTGACACATCAACATGACTCGTACATTGTGGAGAAAAAGGATCCCTCAGAGCTGCTGCGCTCAAAACCCAGCTCTACGGCTTGTTTCAGAGAGTTAGAAAATGACATGAAAGGCCTCTCTTTTCTAGCAAGAACATGATAATTTCAGTTCCCTTGAAATACAAGATTGTTAAGAGAGGTGGGTGGGAAAATCTGTGCGGCCAGACTGAAACTGCATTTGGAAAGTACAAAAGGGAAGAAAATAACTTCAGTTTTCAAGTGCTCCCTGTGCTTTCATGCTTTGTCTTGGCTATTTTGATTACAAGCTCTTCAGTACAAGGAATGTTTTGTACCCATTACATTTGTACAGTGCCCTAACCTATTGGCACTCCACCTTGCTGGGGGGTATTCTGCCCCACAACAAATGAACAACAAAATGGAACAAGTAACAGAGAACAAAGCTTATCACAATCATGTGATTTCTTTTTTTTTTTTAAAAAAAGGCTTCTCCTGTCCTGTCCCTGCACTGGGCAAAGTGCAAATCCCTTGATAACAGTGACCACCACACACAACATCAGAGGATGCATAGTGTGGCTCTCAGCCATTCACCCCTTGTGCTTCTGCAGGACACACTGTACAGCACTATGGGCACAGGTTTATCAGCCTCTCTCACACTATTCATTGCAGACATTAAACTGCCATTTTATAACACCTAGAGTAATCCTTACAAATATTATATGAATCCTACGTGTTTGTGTTCAGCCAACCGAGGAAGTTCCCACTTGTAGTTAATCTGGCTTCTCACCAGGAGGGTTACTGACGAAAACTGCTGTTAAACCTCATGACTGCTCAGTGCCTTTTCCTCATGAACTGGTAACCATAACAAAGATTATCTTTCCAAATGTTACAGGTATTGGCCATCATAGCCAAACAGTCACAGGTGGAAGGGATGATGACACAGAGTTTGCCCTTGGACAGCTTTTGCTAGTGCAAGTCTGACACCTAGCCTGGAAGGAAGGAGGAGGCCACTCTTGCCACAGCACTGCCTGCTTTACGGACGCGGTACCAGGATTGCAGCAACTCCTGAACATCCCCAATCCTGAGATTCTTTGTCTCCCCGGAAAATAAACAGAGCCCTTATTCGTTTTCCTGATGGGTTCTTGCAGCCAGTGAGGTACTAACACGCCGCATCCCCAGGCACAAGCAGCAATGCAGACTTGTCTTTCTTTGTCAGAATCACTGCTCATAACTTTGGCCCAAGCAGTCATGAAGGCTGGAGGGCCGAGGCTCGGCACTGGGGCTGTGGCATTGGCTTCTACAGTGTGAATGACAGGCAGTAATAAGGGCTTACCAGGGATGTG